TAACTGCAGTTTGCATTAACTTCAAGGGACTGTTGTGACTGCATCCCAGATCAAAATATGCAGAACTGTTTTACTAAATTTTACTGACATTTTACATCTCAGTAAATACTGGAATTACTGCCATGGGATATGTGACTTCACAGCATCCTCAAGACAACACTTTCTGATAAAATAACAGTCAACACAATATTTAAGTTTGCCTACCACCATAAGTCGTAAATTTGGTCCAGTTTTCATCTTCATCAAAATGGGCATCTCCTCCTATCCCACTGCCAGGGGCGTAGGCATGAGCCAGAGTTCCTCCTGGACCATCAAAGGAATAGAAGTCACCGTGAACTAAAAATAAGGGGGGAAAAAAGGGATGCTTTTCATTATCTTGCTAAGAAAAAGTGACAAGTACTACGATTCCCTGACAACAGAGCTTCCTTACATCCAGCTGCAAAGGAAATCATTATATCTGCTTGACCTCCATAGACCCTGGTGAACCTCAGAGGGGTGACGCTGCTCCAGAGCTGGAAGGCTCTTGCAATTGCTTCGTCTACATCAGCTTGCAGCATGTCTGGAGTGTAGTTCAGAATCCTGTGAATTAAAGGTAAAAGGAATTAAAAGCAACCAGATCAAATGTGACTGGGACACATGGTATCAAGGTCAAATATTTTAATCTGCAACTATTTACATGTCTCAAGTGGTTTATTTCCAAAATATTTCCTTACATAACAGATAAAGATTTCACAGTTTTCTTTTATACCTTTGAGAAACCCGAACATTTATACTCAGCTGTATTCTTTCTACCCACTGAGTATATTATTCAGTAGGCTATTAGCTAACTACTGTAAAGCCCTATTTTGGTATTCGCATCGCTCTTTGGTAGCCTGAATAGTTCCCACATTCCTATCCCTTTCATCCTGAATGGAGCTTTTATATGGAGGAATACAGAAATAAATAGTAAAGAACCTGTTTACGTTACTTCTGCCTAGCATTCACAAAGCTTCCCAGAGGTGTGGAGAAAAATGTGCTCTAGTGTATGTTACCGATAGGTCACATCTTCTTTGGTCCACGTGGGGCTGCGTGGGAAGGCGCTGTATGAACGGATGTCTGGGATTCCACATCTAGGCTGCTTCATCATGTCCAGCGTCTTCTGATTCAGCTCCCCAGTCACCTCTAGCCCAAAGAATGACTGCATCTCTCGTATTTTGTCAGCCATGTGGTTGAGGTCCTTTGCTTTAAACAGAGAGTGTTTCTCTTCTTTAAAATCATAGAAGTTTTCAAGATATTTCTGATAGGGAAGAGAAAGCAACAGTTTAGATATAAAACCTTCTTTTCAAGTGCAGAGATCTGGTAATAAAATACTCTACATTGCTAATAGACCACTATGTTCATTTTCTCAATAAATTATTTCATCAGTTCTGTCCATAGTCCTTACCTTGGCAAATTGCATATCTTCTTTTTTCTTTTCTGGAGCCACTGGAAAAGCAGAGGAGCATGTAAAATATAATAACTCAAGGAAAAGAAGGATCTTTGTCTTCATCTTTGTCTCCCTGTCCTACCAGCCCTTGCTAGAAGACCTCTCAATCTCTTTTTCCTCTGTCTAAGACGCACCAGTGTTTCACTATTTATATCAGTGCTGTGCTTGCTAAAGTCAATAATGGCATGACTCAGCCTATAACATCCTCTGATTTTCCACAGAAACGCAGAAAACAAATTTGGGTTTAGAAGCAAGCAAACACATGACAGTTTACCTTGCCCAAAACCCCCTGATTTCGCAATCATATTATCGGACAGTATGTTGTTTTTTTCTTCATTCCTAAATTGGGCTGGACAAAAACTACCCCACTTTTTGGAGGTGCTGAAGTGACCTGGCTCTTTGTAGGGGTCAATAATCTGTAATTCCTCACAGTGCTTGAGAAGGGACCTCCAGAAACTGCCTTCAGTTTTCTTGAAGTCCTCTCATTCAGGACCTCAGCATACCAGGAAAAAACCCCTTCCTTTAGCCCATCTTGTACTTGATAATTTTTGTGACATTGCCAATTATAAAAAACTAATTTTTCTTTTCTTGAACCGGGCATCCCAGCATTGTTACAGAACCATTATTTGTGCTGCTGCCTGGCCCATGTAATCATGGATCTATGGACTCATCCCCTTTCTCCCTCACACCACAAAGTCTCAGCAGAGTACCCCATATCATATATCCTGGTCTGCATGTCCTATTCGCCAAGGGTGGTTTCACAACTAAAGAAGAAACGGAAGAAATCGCCCTACAGAACTAGAGGCAGCTTTGGGATAAAAGGTCTTCAGCAGAACCTCTTAATAAACTTCTCCAACATCAGATGGGAGGTGATGAGCATTTGTGCCATACATTCCAAGCTTCCCATTTTGCCAGAAGTCCTACTTTCAGTTCCTATGACCTTTTCTGAACCTGGTGCACTGCACCTCATGGAGGGATTGCAGAACCACTGTCACTTGGTGACTGTCACTCAGTGACTATTGACTGTCATTTCTGAGACATCCATCTTTGGAAACAGAATTCTCCTGTGTTGACTTAATACCCACATGCAAGTTCAAAAGGAGAAACATGAGCTAAAATTAGTCCACTTCTCTTTGAACATGAGAAAAATAAGAAAAAAGGAACCACTTCTCCAGTGAGAAAAAACATATTGGAGACTTCATAAAAACAATCCTAGCACCACAGCAGCTGAGCTCTGCAGTCTGCAAAGTGGCCTGGGGAAAGGCATGGCCTCCTTCCAAAGGAAACTGGTGTTGAACACATTGTGTGTGACCCGGGTCAGAGCCCAGGTCCCTGAACCACTGAGTGAAGTGGTACAGATGTTTATGTCTAAGGCTGCAGTAGGATGAAGGTGGCTTTGCCAATAGCCCCTGCTGCTGTGACAGGGCCCTCCTGCTCCTCCCAGCCTGGCCTGTGCTCTTGCTGTTTTCTTGTGCCCGTCTGATACCAAGTGTGTCCTCAATAAACCAATTCAGAGGGCTGAAGCTACAGGAAACAGCCCAGAAAAATAACCCAAATCCCACTAAAAATAATTTGATGCTGAAGTTATCAAATGCACTGGCACCCTAAGAGATGAGAAGGGTCTCCATGAAGGAGGGGTGGGATATCATGGATAGGAATAGTGGTGCAGGAAGGCTGAGAAGCTAAGACTTCTTTGGCAGCAGCAGGGTTTCTCTCTGCTGGTCATGGAAGAGCATCCCAAGCTGCATTTGTAGGGTATGATGTTTGCATTTCCATATAGAACTCCAGAAAAGCGGAGGGACATTTGAAATACTGCGTTTTTCTCTGTGCCTGGCAGCAGCAGCTTGCATATGGCACTTATCCTCTGCTTTCAGCTGAATGTTTTGTAAACACCCTGTTTGCTGTGTTCAGGGGAGGATCTGTCAGAGCATGAGATGCAGCACACCCAGTTGGCAAACATTGCAGTGAGCCTTTTTGGATGTTTAGGAAGATTTTCTTTCTCTGTGACTTTTGCACAGCTGCCAATAGACATGTTGCATCTCCAGCTGTTGGTTTCTCCTTCCAGATCCTGTTGCCTGCATGCTCAAGCTGACATTTATGGAGTGGCTGGTGCGTGTTGGGAGAAAGAGCTGTACCTTGCCTTGGATTTGGCAGCACAAATGATGCAAATTCACTGCTGAGAAGTCTGCATGGCTCTGAGATGTGTGAGCAAGTGTGACATTTACACATGGATCCAAGAGATGACTTGCCTTCTTATTCTGAACCCTAAGATAGCAATCTTAGTGTTCAAACTAATGTGGGTATTCAGTCCCGGGTTTAATCCCGGGTACTGCAGGATAAAAACAGAAGCTGTGTTGTGGCTTTAATCAAAAGTTTAAAGTGTTTGAAAATTACATTGCCAGGGGACACAGTGAAGTTTTACTTCAAAGTACTTTTACTGAAGTTTTACTGGCAAAGACGCAGCTAGAATTTGAATGGAGTGAGCTGAGCTGATACCTCACATGGCACTCTTGCCTTACCTACAGCTCAACTATTTGATGAATTCTGCTTCAGGGGTGCCCAGAATCACTTAAATAAAGCAGGTCAGATGCCTGTTTCATGCCTTGGTCCCATAGGTAAAGGGATGCTGTTATTCCCATCCCAGTCCTGGGAAGTCGATCCCTCCTTTGCCCTGAAGTCGCTGTTGTCCTTCTGCTGGGCTGGAGACCATGTAGATGCCAGGGGTGACTTGCCAGCTTATGCAGCAGTGAAGCAGCCAGACTGGGTCCAGGAATAGTGCTCATTTCTTCCCTCAGCTCATTAGCACTCAGACTCATTCGTCCCATATCGCCAGCAGTTAACCACACACTCGGGGACAAGAGTGGGTGCTTTCCCAGGAAGACCCCTGCAGCAGAACAGAGCATTTCACTGAAAGCCTGCCAACATCAAGGCTAATATTCTTCCACCACAGAACTGTTTGTCCTCTGGCAGTGAAATTTGTATTATCCTGTGGGGTCTAGTCCAAGTGCCAGGGTTTTTAGAGGATTTGTCAAACTTCTACCTGGGAATTTTGCCATTTCTTTTTTTTTTTTTTTTTCTTCTATGGAGATTTCATCCAGAAATGTCATTCCAGTTCTGCTTGGCATGTTTGACTTATGGAAAGAAGTAGAAGGACAGAAGGATACTTAACACAGTCATCTAAACAATTGTCATTAACTCTACAAACAACAGCAAATTAAGTCAAAAGAAGCTTGAACTAATAACATACACAGACACAGACACAGACACACACACACACACACACACACTATAATTTCACCTCCTAAACTTTTTAGAAGGATCTGTAGATGTCTTCTTTTCCACCTCCCCTTCACTCACGCTGTTTCCAAACTCTCCCTACTTGTGCTAAACATGCAGGATGTGTTATAAAGGTCTTGGACATGCCTGGACATGGAAGAAGCTGCTGGTTTCTTTCACTTGAACAGAATTGGGAAATAAATCCATACAAAGAGATTCTGGGACTTGAGGAACAATAAGTGAACAGAAAAAAGACTTAAGCCCTTTACATTATGAGCCAGTCTTTAATAAATAACAGCTGGATCATAGCATCTAAGTGGTTGGGGGAAGTAGGCAAGCAGAACATTTGTGATGTGGAAAAAGGAAGGTCCGCTATTAAAAGACTCAGAAAAAACAGAGAATATTTACTGAAAATGAAACTTTCAGTCTCTTTCTGCAAGACAGTATTGTGAGAGTATTGAAGCTGAGCCTGAAAAAGGTATTGACTCGAATTCCATGATTTTTCCTGTATATCCATTTATCAGTGGAATCTCTTCATTCTGCTTTTCTAATATACAGCTTCTAATAGTATCTCTCACTTTTCTACTTCATCTAAGCATTTTGTCCAAGTTTCATTGCAAACTGAGAGATAGCATGTAGAGGTAGACTCAATAGCTGATCTTAATTACCCAGGAATTTGGAGATTTTTGATGTCTGTATCCTTGAGTATTATTAGCAATATCAAAGGTGAAATCACTTCCGTATTTGTATTTTGTATATAAACAAGTTTCTTAAGCTGCATGTCATTTCCTCTCAGCAATGTCTGACTTGGTAGCTTAGAAGGCAAGGTCACTGAGTGATTGCGTTGGTGTTATATTATCCATCAGTGAATAAGAGGTGTGACAGAATCCAATGCCCGAGAACTCTGGGGTTTGCAGGACCTAAACTGGAATATGAAAGTTGGAAATAATAGCACCCTTATTTCATATGTGGCAATGTACTGGGGTCATACTCTGAATTTGGACATGGCCTGAGCAATAGGCATGACAGGAAGCACTGTGGTTGTGATACACAATTAATTCACTGTTTCCTCTTTACCATTCTGGCCCCTATGACACTCAGGCTGTCACACCAAACCATTGAAGTAAATGAAATGTGGGCAGGATCCTGCCTTTCCTTCTGAAGGGGATGGCCAGTAAAATGTTGCAGTTCTCTCTCCTTCCAAGCACAGTCTTTTATGGTCAAGGACCTGTGGGATTCTTATTCTCTTGTAAAGGATATGAATAAGCTGCCAGATCTCTGGTTGTTAATTAAGGTGATGGGTTTTTAGACTCAAGAAGATTTACTGTAGTTTTTTGGTTGTGTAGAGAAGAAGAAAGTCCACAGAAGATGATTTCTGATGTGTGGTTGATCATCCCATCTCTTTAAAACTGCTTAAACAGTTGACTTTGCTAAGTCCATTAGCCATATTTTTAATATATTATATGCTAATGTTATATGAACTCCACTGCAATGCTTTGAACCAAATATTAGGAACAGATAGGGAACTTTGCCATGTAAAGAACCTCCTAACTTTTCTGGAATTCCTTTTCATATGGACTGGAAAAAGCTGAAAGCTTTTACAATTTGACTTGGCAGCCCTTAGATATTTAGCCAGCTCACTATTGATGCATGAAACAAAAGACACCGCCATGAGAAGCCTGGGTTCTCTGTCCAAAAAAGACCTGAGAAAGGGGAGTGAGTGAGGAGGCACTCTAGGAAACAGTCTGCCATCCTGCTCTCATATGTCATGGTCTGTCGTGGTTTGA